TGGCTTTACATTTTCACAAACTAGTCAATAAAAAGACCGGGACAAATACTAAAAAACATTTCACAACTTAAAACGTCGTGATGCTTTGATTACTTGCTTAGCACTTCCTTTCATTTTTACAGGCATCCAAGGCTCCGCACCTGTACTTCTTTTAAACCATATGGCCTTAGGGGCATGCTAGTAGTAATTGGTTCTTCTGTACGCCAGCACTACACTTTTGTCTTAGTGCCATGGCTTTTTCCGAGTTTAAGGAAGTTGAGGGGAGGAGAGATGCGCCACATTGGTGGTAACGAGAAGCGAACCCGATTTTTAGACTCGAATGAAATGACTTTCAGCTCTGAATGTTAAACAGCCATATACTGCAAAAGGATCTATTGTATCAAAAAGAACGACTGAAAATGAAGTCTACCTGTGGCAGGAATTCAATAAAAATTGAGTCGAAAATAATCGATAACAATTTCGAAGAGCGTACAATACGGAGGCATCTCCGCAACCTGCTTGAAGCTATCATTTAAGCGATTACGCGACACCCAGATGGATGTGGCTGACCGGCAATGAAGTGAGAACATTCCAACGAAGAGGAAAAGACATGAAGGCTCTTATTTGGTCACTGCTCTTACGGCTAGCAATGGATGGACGAGACGTTCAGCACGTCCTCTCTTTACCCAGCACAGTTTTCAAACAAAAAAAACTCCATATGCGGTGAAACGATCAGGATAGATAAATGAAATTGTAGTCAGACGTTTCAACTGGGCGTTAGCCTCAAAAGACCAACTACGTTGCGGCTGACAACATGGGTAGCTGATCGAAGGAGATTCGAATGATATAATGCCTTTATTGTTTGTATAACTCCTGATGTTCACTACACGAACACTTAAATCACCTTCATTGTACCTTGGTCTGCAGAGGATGTGAGTAAACCAGCTCTTCTGTACGTCGTAAACGTCATTTTCTTCTTTAATCTTCAGCGTAGGCATAAAGATATAGTGCGTAAGTAAATTCGAATTTAATAGATTTCACTCTGAAGATAAATCTTGCGTGTCACGCAACAAAGTGGTTCATTTCACGCAAAATGAAATGTAGGTTGGTTTTACCACGAACAAACTGGTTCGAGAGACACTGTGTCTCTAAAAAAGCAATGACTCCGTTTGGAACGAAGGATCTGTCGTGTGGTCAAATTACAGGTCTCCAGAGGATAGCTCAAGTCACTAAAGTCTTGCGCACAAATACTTCGTTTTGTTTTGAGCGCTCCTCGTAATTTGGCTTTCGTATAGAAGGCCCAGAAGAGAAATTAAACAAATAATATTTCTTCAATAGCATACGTGTATTGTTCGATGTAGGCGACAGCGGGGAAGAAGTTTGAGAAATTGGAGGAATGGGCGGTTTTTCGTTGCTGCTACTACTACTGCTGGTGGCGCTTGATTCTTCGCCTTGTGAAACTGCCGTGGCGCACGCCGAGGCGATTTCTCCATCATTTTCACGCTCCAGGCAGCCGTCTTTCACATCTCTGGAAGGCGACAGACAGTGCTCGCATTTTAAAGGCGCCAGAGCGGCCAGACAGGTGGGCATGCTGTCCAGGCGACAGATTTGCGGCGGACCCTGCGACACCTGTCGAGACAAGTCGGGTCCGCTACCATCGGGTAAAGAAGGTGCCACAACAACCTGAAGGAGATAAGGGGATTATTTTAATAATGTGGAATAGGGTTTTCCATTGGAACGGTACATTGAGATGACAAAAATGCTCTTTGTGCCCATAAAAGCCTACCTGAGAGCCTGAAGTTAGGGTATACACAGCTAGCAAGCTAGACTTTTATAGGAGATATGAACTGTGAAAATGGCGAATGATTTTGAGCTACAAGTGAGATTGATAGAGACCAACAAATAGAATAGTCGGACCGTTTTAACAATTTTTGGTGGTTCAATGCACAAAAACAGTCGGTAATTAATAAAATGTGGGACTAAAAAGAGACTTGGGATTCACATGGCTTATTATTCTTTGCCGGCGAGACATCAGTCCCACGATCTTAAAGATGTCAAAATTTATGGATAGGGGGTGAGGAGATAGCAGTCAAAACTGCGACAAAAAGGAGTGGTAGTGTAACCTTTTAATGGTGACGAAAAATTCTTCCGCCAAACTGTACCATAAGTACCACGAATTAGTCCAGAGCTGAAAACTTAAGATCAATTTGCCAACAAACAGTACGTTATCATCTGTGAGTTAAACATGATGCATGAGGTTGGAGCTTAACAACTTCCAGCCAAATGCGTGGAAGAGCACTTGAAGAAGGTGCAAAATGTGATGGCAGTGTAGTGTCCAAAATGATTCATTACATTTTATTATGGTGATGAAAAGTTATGCTATAAGCTGTACAGCTAAACCAGCGGGTCCTCTTTTTTCAAGATCACCGATAACGGATCCTAGCCCCGTACGCAGAAGAATGCTCCACCCTGACAAAGTGCTGACGTATTGATTTAATTATATGCAAATGAAAGTGGTTCCGATGATTTCCTTCTTGTTCCGCACTTCTGATGCATGCACCATTTCATCCATCTCTTCGTCTGCTTGACCTTCGTTCCCCTTGTGCTTGTAGAATACAGACAGAAGTTTTCATTTGATACCTGATGCAGCTCACTACATCTCAACGATCCCTTAGGAAACAAGTAGGCTGAGTAAGTGAGAGGAAAAGTCTTCTCTTCGGTCTTGCACCTTCGTCAAGCGACACGGTCTACAGACCATGCGTAAGCTTTTGGATACGTTAAAGGCACATGTTTTGTTCGGTTATTAGGCCTTCTTTCGTGGCACTGACCGATCCCAAGTTTCAGTTTGGAACGAAAAAGATAGGAGGGGATAGAATTGGACATTTCGCTTTGGGTGACTCATTTCGCAGGGACCTGTGATCTTGCTCAAAGCAAGGGTTAGATTGTTGGCCAAAACATTCCTCTGCAGAAGGAACAAGTAGCTTTCTCCTCTCATTGACCATCAAATTAACTTCAATTTTATTAGGAGTCTCATTAGATAAAATGAGAAGTCGCATCCTACACTCACCAAATCAAGCCATTGCGCATTCAAATTGACTTTACAGCTCGAATTATCTCCGCCACTCAATCAGGAGTGTATTCTAGTACCGCCAAACTGAAGTCGATGTCAGTAAATTCAGTTAATAAGGGCTTCTTCCCTCGCTCATAGGAATGAACTTGGGCTTCATTTAATTGCAGAGCCTCATCAACTCAAACTAGTTAACTTTCTGTGCTTCGTATCGTCTATTAACTGGGACGAGTTCACAATATCCGTACCCCAATTGCAGCCACATAGGTGCTTGTCTAACGATAGTGGGATACACCTTGCAAATTCCAAAAAGTTACTTTACCATCTCAAGAAGTTCGCGAAATTGTAGACGGGTAGATAGCTCAAAAAATGCATCCATTTCCCAGATGTCGTCTTTTTACAAAAAAATGCTAGTAGAGACGATAAAAGAGGGGGACTCAGATAACTGCCTGATTATTTAGTGATTAAGACCATTCGAGGTGCACATTGAAACTCATAACGTCCAAACGACACTTTACAAATTAGCGTAACCATTAGAGTTACAGTTTGTTGCACAAAGTAGAAACAGACACCATATCAGCAATTCATTCATCTGCTGCTCCTTTATGATAGGTAAAGGCATGCATTTCTACACTAGTTAAGCGGTGACGATATCATAACACGCATTGGGTTGAATTCATTCTGCGGTGCCGATCGGCAACTTCATCTGATGACTGAGCTCCTAGTCTAGACCTCGTCTCATAGGCGAGTGAAAATGAGTGTCAACTCAATGGCAATGAGCACTACCGCTGGCCCACTATTATGAGAGCCAAGCCATTTGTCATGCGTGGGCGGTGCAAATAAGACACGTCTCATTACAATGACAAGGTTACTGGAAGTGACGGTGCTACATTAAAGTGCACCAAGGGTAAATTGAAAAAGGAATGAATTCATTCTTTTTGATGGACTTGAATTGTGCGATTTGACTTTAACGTCCCGCAAATCACACTTCCAGGTCAAGTACTGAATGTAGGTTAATCGCTTTCATTGCACTGAAGTAGCTCTAATAGGTCATGCGACTCTCAAATTTATGGCAAATTAAAATTCCTCTTGATAGAATTAGATGACTTGCATATGGGAGGAGCCAATTTTGAGTTTGCCAAGTGACAAAGTTAATGACACCATTAGCTACCTCCAACATTTGGCTATTAGGTGATTAGCCTTATAACTGACAGCACAACCGCATAGAATCATAACAGCGAAACTAATTACGGCTCCCTATGGACATAAACAGTGGAAATGAGAGATTTGATAATGGTGAGCAAATAAGGAATTGAGGGGCGTCAATTCCAACGATATGCCCGTACTCATTTAACGAAAGGTAGGAGTGCTCAAAACTAGGCAAGAAAGTCATTCCGGGTAAACAACCGAAACCATGGTAAATTCGCCAAGCGTAGGACAATTATGCCGAAAATTACTTCTAACTCAGGCATTCCATTAAAGTTGGTCGTGTTCTTTCGAATTCATGAGGCGCACCACGTCATGACTCACCGCGCTGAAAATTTATCAATCTAAGTAAATAAACGTTTTTGTGGCGAAGGTGGCAGAGAGAATGGGAAGACAAAAAGAGTAGTTACCTGTCTGCAAACGTGCCTTTGGAACACGATGTGACGTTTAAAGTAGCGTTTGTACTTCTTCCCGTTTGCAAATATCATCTCAAAATCATCCTCGGTATCTGATTTGGTTTCAGAGTGACAGCACGGTTTCTCGGTTCCGAGTACACCGTCATTTTCCCCTTGCTCATCGCACCAGATATGTGGAGGTGACTCGGATTCGGTAGCCTTATGCTGTGGACTCCTCTATGGACAACAAATGAAAGCAATTCAGGCATTTAATGGAGGTATTAGTGCTCCACATGAAACATCAAATGAATGATTACACAATGTATGGAGTTGATTAAGGTTACAGCCAAATTGAGGTTTTCAGAGCCTCATGAACAACAACAGCAACAAAGCAAGCATGGGAATAAGGCCTTCTGAAACGGTAGTCAACCATTTAGTGTCAATACTTAAAAGACGATCGCAAGTCTACATGTCATTGAAAACTCGGACATTGATAGCTTGACTCTTAACTCATAATATAAGTAGGCGTCTCTGTGGCCACACATGCGGCCAGAAGGCATATTCTCATGTAGTCGGTGACGCTAGATCAAGACATAATGGGTTGTGGGAAAGGCACAGTCAGCCAGAAGTCCCAACTATTGCAAATCGCTGATGTACACTAAATACCATTACTGTATCGATGACAACATGAAGTGGGCTTTCATTTAGACGGTTCATCCGAACTTACAAACCGTTCTGCACCTAGGCCTTCAGGTAGATTTTCAACACTGAAATAGGTGCACATATGTAATACTAGAAGGTGGGAATTTGTTATTTTGGCCCCTTAGAGGCACAAAAATACTGAGCTGTCGTGAAAATCTGTCGTTGATTTGCAAATGCACAGTAGTAGGTAGATGTCTTTGTGCCACAGGTGACAAAAACAAACATTTTTGCAAGTCTATTGCAGAAAACAGGAGACTACACGGAGAGGAGGAAAGGTCAACAGCTTCAACCAACGCATTGACACGCAGCATTGATGTTGGTAAACAAGAGAGACAAGGAGGACAAAGGACAAGCAGTTAATCCATAGATTAATTAATCCAAATAAAGTTCAGATTTTGATTATGCATGTCTTTCACTATATACCATCACCATGTTATGGTCAATAGAGCCTGCTTTTTCAAAGTCCAAGGGACTACAGTTACGAGACCACTCAGCCATAGGAAAAAAACAGGCAGAAACGATTATCGCTGCGAGTTTGCACCTCGCTAAAGGTGCAAAAGAAA